ATTTTCAAAGCATAGCTATGACCTTTTTTCAAGCACTTTGAAGCAAAACATTCAATACCAAGCATGTGATGGTTATATTAGACAATAGTTACAGCTCATCACAGAGAACTGCTTCAGCACAAATCAGGCATATATGGTCTATAAACCCTGAAAGTAAACTTTAATATTAAGCCTGGAGACGTAAAGAGCGCCTTAATAGTAACACAGCATTTGAAATCCAGCACTTATCTATCACTTCTTTCTGAAAGGAAATTTGCTTATTAAGAAGATCTAGCTCTCAACAATAATGTAACAAATCAGCCAGTAGCTGTAGGGTAAAAGAAATTCCTCTATGTATCTGCCTTTTCCTCTCTTCAAAAGTTTCTTATCAGACCTGTGTCTGGTAACACCATGCCTTCCATTGCTCACACTTATTCATAAGCTATATATATATCTTCATGTCTGGCAAATAATACTGTATCTGTGTTGCAGCTTCTGGACAAGGCAAGCATAATCAATGCCCAAAGCAAGAGATCTACAAGACTGCCTGGTGACAGCTGAAAAATATGTCTTTGAAAAATACCAGACCAAAACAGGTTATAGTAACTTCCACCGTGAATTTAGACAAAAAGGTTTGCCTTCAGTCCCTGATGACAATAAAACTGAATATTTTGTACAGTCAATTATTTAGCTGCTAGTAGGCAAGAGGAAAAAAGGTAACTGCATTCTTTAAGAAACACACTAACAACATTCTGCAAGATATTTCTGAAGCATTTCCGCACACACATGAACAGGACAAGTAGGAGATCAAGTACAACACTTCTACAGAAGCACCATACTTTTACAGTCACCAGCATAGTGGGTTGTACCAACAGAAGATGAGTCAGTTGGTCAAGGGATGAGACTACTTCCCTTTACTCAGCACCCATTAGATCACATCTGGAATACAAAGTCCAATTTTGGGCCCCTCAGTACAAGAAAGAAGTAAAGATAAACTTAAGTGAGTCCAGTGGAGGGGAACCAAGATGGGGTAAATGACCCAAGAGGAGTGGCTGAGGGAACTGGGCTTGTTTAACCTGGAGGAGAGAGGAAGACCTAATAGCAGCCTGCCCTTACCTAAGAAAAGCTACTGAACTCTTGTTGACAGTTGAACTCTTTGCTGAGATGTACAGTAAGAGAGCATGAAACAACAGACATAAATACAGAAAAAGTTCAACGTGAATATAAGGAAAAAGAAAATTCCCTAGAAAGATAATTAAGCATTGGATCAGGTTGTCTAGAGAGGCTGTAAAATCTCTGTCACTGCAGATTTTCAAGACTCAACTGGACAAAGCCCTTAGCAACCAACTCTGAAGTCAGTGCTGAGCCTGCTCTAAGGCTGCAGTAGATGAATTCCTGAGGTCTCTCCCCAGCCTCCAAAATAAATGATTCTGTACAGGTCCACCTAGCTGGGCAGTCTGTCTACAACAATGCCTAGCACCTGGTATCAATGGAAATTTTATTACAGTACAGTATGTTTGGCACGAGTCTTTTCTGGCCTACTCACTCAGCTTCCAGAAATCAGAGATTTAAGGGCTAGAAGGTTACCAAAGATTTAACACAGGAATAGAGAGTTTTCCAGTTTTTCAAAGATGCCACAACCCCAAAACCATCTTAAAAGTTTTTTCAAAAGTTGCTATTACTAGGGTTGAAAAACTTTCTTGATGTTCAAATGTAAAACTTTTTAAGGTCAGAAATTACTGAATACTTAGAAGACAAGGAAAAAGTACTTTAGAAGGGATCCCGAGTTTACTGGTAGAAGTGTCCCCAGTTTCCTTAATGAACCACTAATTATGTTAGCAGGTGCTTGGACATTTAGGAGACTGCCACCTGTGCAGTCTTTTGCTGTGCAAAATCCACTGCTTATAAAAGAGAATATGGAGAAGAACCGGAATATTCAATGCAAATCTTATATTTATGCAATTAAAGGGTTTCACAAATTACACTCACTGGATGAAATACTTCTCTCTTAATGAGGAAGAGCTTTCTCCAAAAGGATGTCAATTCCTGATGAAATTGCAGGTGTTCCCTACCAGAGAGACACACATACGAAAGATACAAAAGTGTGATTCTCCTTAAGATACATAGGCTGCAAAAACTTCTTTATAAAATGGATATAACTTCTACATTTCTTGTAACTCATATAGAATATCCTTAGAAAAAAAATCGGCATATTCTTGTATTCCATGTACTCCTCCAAGGATGAATGAACAAAGCTAAAGTCAAGCCTTCCTCACCTAAAATTAGTCCCATCTATGTACACTGAAGATGTACTGCAACTGTATCAGTAGTTAATAAAAGGATCATGCAGCCTTAGTCCATACAGATAACACATGCTGTTTATAACAGTGAAATGAATTAGCTCCCAATCCAGGTAAACAGTGCTAGTTCATGCCACAGGTTGTAACATAACAATGTTCACAACAGATCAGTCCAAGATCTATTTAGCATGACAGCAGGCAAAAGCAGAGTCACAGACAGTGAGAGCAGCATCACACCAGTGTAACTTATCTAAATGGGCATTTATAATGATGTAGCAGTGGTGAGCAAGACAAAAAAGACACCCTGAGAGTCCAGTCCTATGGTCAAACACATCATAAAAATTGCCATACTGAAGAACCAGAACCCACATGCAACCACAAGTTAATTCAGCAAACATTGTTTTCAAACCCCAAAACTTCACAGCCTCAACTATGACGGTTTGAAGTATAACAAGAATGTGTTACTAAATAAATTTATGGACTAGCTTTCCACTCTAGAAAAATTGCTTAAACGGATTCGAACGACCGGCGAACGGCATCTTCCCCTCGGTAAGCAGGCTGCAAAGCAGGCGCACCTGCCTGCACCGCCTCCCCCCTCCTCACACGGGGCGGGGGGCTCAAGGCGGGAAACGGATCCCGCTCTGCCCCTTCCTCTCTTCCACCCGTCCTCCCACCGATCCCACGGACTGTGGGGAGACAGGTAAAGCCTGCGGGAGCAGCTGCGGAGCCAAGGAAGGTGAGTGACAGGCCGGGCCTGGCGAGGCAGAGGGCCGCCGGGGCGGGGCGGGGCGGGGCGGGGGGGGGGGGGTGTCCCGGGTCCCGCTCCCCACCAACCTAGCACCCCGTCCAGGGAGGGGAGCCCGCTGGAAAGCAGCAGCTGCCCGTGGCGAACAGAAGGCCGAGTGCCCGCCACAGCGGCCAGGCGGCTGCCGGCCGCGGCCTTCCGCCGAAAGCTGGTGGCCCCGCGGACCTGCACCGCCCCACCGGCCGCCGGCGCCTCCGCCATCTCGGCTGCCCGTCGGTTGACAGGAGCTAAGGGGACGCCGGGAAGAATCAAGCCCTTTCCTCTGCGCCAATGGGAGAGCGGGATGGGAAAGCCGCTATCCAATGGGAGGCCGCGTTGTTTGCACGTCGCAGGCTAAAGGGGCGGGGGAAGGGCCGGGGAGCCCGGTAGCGAGCGGGTAGGTGAGCGTGGTGGGGCCGGGCCGGGCCGGCGGGCGCGGGGTCCCGGGGCTGGGAGCGGGAGGCGGCGGCCCCGTCCCGGGCGGGGCGGTGCTGGTGACTCGGCCTCGCCGGCCGTGCTGCGGAGGGAGCCCCGCTGCCTCCTCCCGGGGGGCTGGGGGTGCCTGAGGTGTCAATAAGGCTGGACGCTGAGCGAGTTGTGAAGGGAGAGGCTCTCCTGGCCCCTTTGCCCTTGAGTTCCCTCCGCGGCCTCTGCGCCGCACTGCCGGTATCGCTCTCTTCAAAAGCCGCGGTTCTTCCGCACGAGCCTGGACGTGAATAGGAAGGAAAAAGTGTTTGTAAAACATTCTTTTTTTTTTTCCTCATAGTGTTTCACTAACTGCGTGTAACATAGTATATAAGTATGCTTGGAGTTTGTAAACATTTATACAAGTATGCTCTTGTTTGTAAATAGCCATGGATCTGTAATAAATGTATGATGTAAGACCTCGCACTCGGAAGCAAGCTCTTGCATCAATTGGCCATAAGCCAAGAGCTGTGGTAGAAAAAGTTACTTTATGTGGGGAACATAGTTTCTGTTCTTCGTTACCATTTATTGTTGAATCAGTTGCTACTACCATAGAATGTTGATTTGTGTATTTTGGAAGATTAGCATGTCCTTTACTCTTTATTAGCAATTTATAGATAGTAGCTTGTGGCTTGTACGTGGCAGCAAACAACTGCCCTAGACTGAGTGTATGTAAAAACTGATGAAATATCTGAACTTGTTATTTCCTTTTCTGATATTGTTATATACGTAGACATTAAAATCCATCTTATCTTAATGAAAAAGTTTAGTATGTTTGCTTTATAAATCAACATTTTCTTTTATAGTACTCTGAATTAAGAGAAATCCATATGAGCATATAGAATAGCCACAATCACAAGTATTTGTATATTTGGTTTTAATCTATTGGTGTTTCAGATGCAGCCCAAGCTACTCGAACACTTTAGCACATAGCAGGATATACTAATGAGACTAATGTTTTAATTCTTCACTCTTGATGTTTAATTTCAATTAATGACTTTTTGTTATTGCTATAAGCTGTGGTTTTAAACACCTCTGGTTGTTCAGCCTATATTTTTTTAATTGAGGGGGAAAAAAAAATAATCCTTGTATTAAGTATGAACAGCAAGAAAGAGCAACAGTGTTATCAATCCTGAACATCAAAGTTTTTCCTTATTATCAAATTCAAACTCAGGAGCATGAAATTTCAGTATTAAGTCTTCCTAGCTAGTGAAATTACATTCATTTTACTATTGGCCAAGCTTCTTTATGTGTTAAGCAGTGGACAGTTTAAGATCTTTATTATGAGTATCAAGAGGTTGTCTTAATGTTTTATAATTGCTGCTAAGCTGTGAAGTGTTGAATAATAAATATTTAATTTCAGATGTAGATTATTACTTAGTGAAAGTTATAAGTATTTGTCTTTAGAGGAAAAAAAAATCAAATGATACATTTAAAAACATGAGAAGAAATAAATATAATAATTAAATGTTATTTCTTTAGGATCTGACTAATGATTTGTGAATATCTGGAGTTGGAAAGACTTTAACAAAATAAAGCCATAAAACCTAATTCAGAATTATTTTAAAAGAAGCGTTCAAGAATCTGTTATTGTCATGGGATCCTATGGTATAAATTCAGTACAACTGAGTGAGGAGACTGAAATTTAGAGTTCTCCACTTTCAAAATATCACATCAACTCTTCTGTTTCTTACTGTTCTGTTATTCTGGAGTCCAGTTACCTAAATATTTCAGATATGAGTGCTTGCTGATGTGTTTAACAGTATATCCATTAGGGGACTTTTTCATGGAATGCTTGTAACCCGCTGAGAACGTCTTTGATAGATTAACACTTACCTATCAGAAAAAGAATCAAATGATATACTACATGTGCTTTGTCTCAGTGATTATTTTTTTTTCCTGTTTCAAGCAGTATACTTCCTTTTTGTTACTTCAGTGAGAACCTATTTCCTTGCTTGTTTAAGTAAAGTATACTAATATAGGTTGCCTTAACTTTACAGAATAGGTGTAAACATCTAGGGCTGAGACCTCTTTTCTTCTATTTCTCATTACTATTTCTCTGACAGGTAGTTTTATCCTTTTTCTTACCTCATTTTCCTACAAGGCAATTAAAACTAAAGGCTGAATAATTCTCCTTTTCCTCTTTCATTTTGGACCCCACATAATGAAGCATTTTGCAAGTGGGAATCATTATGCTGTGGTCCTACCATTCATAGAATTGCTTGCATAAAGTACAAGTTTACTGAAAATCTCAGTATCTCCTAAGCTGATATACAATGTTGCTAAAAGAGGAAGTCTCATTTCCTTCTCTTCCTCCACTTCCAGTCCAACAGACCCTGGTGCTTGTCATATCCTTTCTTAAACTGATTCAGTTCACTAATCTGACTTGGAACTATGTATCGATTTTTCTTAATTCTTTAATTTTGTGTCATATTGCTGAGTTGACGCATTCAGGAAAAGTCCATATACACACAGTGGGGAGAGGGGTCAGTTGAACCTTCTACCTCTTGCTGACTGAACCTTGCAGCTATTTCAGAATGTAATAGTGACATTTTTGTTAAATTTTGTGAGTTGTTGTCCTTTGAGATACAAAGAAACTGTCTCTTACAATGTAACTTGTAACAGGAGAGACTTTCAGGTATTACAAAAAAATATGGAGAAGTAGTAATAGTTCTTCAGTATAAGAATGGAACATTAAAAAGTATTACAGTAATTCTGGTTTTGATGTTTATGTTTTCTCTCTGTCACATTTTAAGATGATATGTGCAGTTAAAGTCCTACTGATTTGGAAAGTGTGTGGAAATAAGGTATTTTGAAAAGATTTAAAAACCCCCAACTTTACTTAATACAATAAAGCTTTACAGCCGGATACGTGCTTATGAAAACACCACTTACAGCATCTGACTTATCTGCCTCTCTTTTCAGACAAATAGAGAAGAAACTAATTTTATGGAAATGTCTTTAAGTTAAAGGAGTAATAATAGCTCTTTCACACTATTTGAATGATACTAAATGTTTGCTAATGTTCATGTTCACTTTCCAAAAGATGAATTTCCAGCCATTGTAAAAGATCCCACTAGAGGCTGTCTGACAGAAAGCAAGACCTCAGGATTTGTTATTCTAGATATTACTGTATAAAACCCCCCTAGTCCCCAAATATACATTAGTATGTAGATAAGGCCTACTATTCCTGCTCTAGGGATTGAATTGAAATGCAGAGAAACTAAAGAACATGGAGACAATTGCAAGTGATCAGGAAAGGTATTGGCAAGTTATTTCTTGTCAGCTGAGCTGTGGCAACTGACTATGGTCTTGCTCAGCTCACTGTAAAATGGAAAAGTTTAAACCCTTGTGTCTAGATCGGGATGTCTTAAACTGTGGAATAATCAGTGTTTCTTTCTTACAGCTTGCATATTATCATGTAGACCTGATCAAACGTTTATATCAATTTTAACTGCAAATCCTGACTCTAGTATGAAGAAATCAAGCTATTTTCCATTTACTGTAAACTTGCTGATCCAATTCAACTACTTGCCAATGCCAAATGCAGAGTCTAAGATGGATTAAGAGGATTTTGGGTGAGAATTCCCTGAGGAAAAAATGGAGGGTATACAATGGGTGAGTGAGAGCAATCAAAATATTTGGGAAAAGGTATGCTTGGAATTCAATCTGCAAGTATGTTTGTCATTTCTCTTCAAAAGCTGTGGCCTATGGATTTGGTGAAAATCCTGTTGTCCCCAAAATAGCAGCACTTCTTAAAGTGTGCTTTAGTTGTTTTCTGCTTGATAAGAGGACACACACCTGTCATGGCTGTTGTTGCCTCTTTGTTCACTGCACACAGACTATGTGGGTTGCAGATGTAAATTCTTGGGTCCTTCAGTTAATGCAAGCTGAGGCTGTATTTTGTGAGCAGTGTTTTTCAACAAGACAATGTTAATGAGGTACATATTTTACTTTCCTTTATTTCAAATTAATGTTTTTGCTAGGTTTTAATTGTGCCTTACAAGATTCAGTGTATGCTCTTGTCCTTCTTTGGCAATGAGCAAAATGCTGTCATTTTGGAATAAAACACATCAGTGCATTTTGTTTCAAAACCATATATCTGCCTGACCAGCTTTCAGGAATATTGTTCTGTTGGGTTTATGCATGGGATAGAGAACTAAAAAACTGCATCTTAGTGGCAGTTCTAATTCATAATCTTATTAGCATTTGCTGATACATTGCCAAGCTGCTTCCCTTGTCACTTCTGGAATGTGATGGTATTAGACTGTACTGATTAAAGATTTATAGTCATTAAATCAGATTAGCTCTTGAGTCACCTGACTAGGTAGTGTTTGAGTCATGTGATCCAGTGCCCTGCTGAGTTCCTGTAGGGAGCTGAAACAAGGTAGTTTGCTTTTGAGATGTTCTTAAGTATCTAACAGCATGGGTCATGGATTATGGCTGCAAAGAAGATGGCTTCATTTTCCTGATCTTTGAACTAGCTAGAATGGGATAAGTTTGAAAGTGCAGGATCTTCAGGCCATGAGCCAACAACTGGAAAGAATGTTTAATCCTGGAAGTTCTGACATCAAAAGGCCTGGGTTTTTTTTCAGTACGAAAAAAGCTTAAAGACTACTTATCCAATCAGTCCATGGAAAACATGATAATTAGTGGGAGGGTTTAAAACATAACATTTGTATGATACTATATAAAACATGATATGATTTTGTTTAGCCTCTAGATGTTACCTAAATGCATCCCCATGGGTATATTGAACAATAGTATAAAAAACGTAAACCTCTGTCACATTTCAACAGCTCTTTTAAAAAAGAAGTAAATAAATTGGGAGATGTGAGTTAGTGGTATGTGCTGAAGATAATAACAAATTATAAAAAAAGTTATTTAATGTTTCTGTAATTTCAGATTGTAAAAATGGATAGTATACTGTTCTGGAAGTTTCAGTAATGCTAATATTGAAAATGAGTTGTGAGTTGAATGTACAGTCTTAAGTGTCATACAGATTAATGGCGTGTTTCATAGAGATTATTTTCCTTCTGTTTATCATAAAAGGAGGAATTATAATTTTATTTTTTTTAAATGATGTTAATTTAAAACTACTTGCAAGATAGGACTAAAAGTAATGGGGAAAAAATTAACCCCAAAAACTAGAGGAGTATTACTTGTATTATGGCTTTTGGTATTATGGTTTTTGATATTCTGTAATGTTTTCTGTACTGGGTTCCATGTCAATATAAAGTTTACCTCGGGATTAAAAACTACAAATTAAGACAGATTGATTCTAGCCTTTCCAGATGTTTAATATCCAGAAGTCTCTTTCATATTGAATACAAATGGCTGCCCTTAAAGAATAAAAGTTTGTCTCTTCAGCATGTCAGTGGAAGATGTGAAACTTTGTTTCAGCTGGAAAAATGTGATTTAAATACTTTGATATTTTGAGCCTTCGTTTTTGTCTTTCAATCTGATTGTACATATTTAATTAAATACGCATTTCTAAAGCTAAGTATTGTAGGCAACTGATTTATGGAAAGGAAAGGTTAATATCTGATTTCTTAAAAATTAATTTATGCTTGTGCAGTTTATGCAAAGTGCAAAATAACTTTAGATGTGCTTTTAGAGCCTCAGATTCACTGAATATCTGTAAAAATATATGTACAATTGAAATTAATTTTTAGTTGATATAGCATTGTTTCTTGATAAGCTGATATTACAAAGCTTAAGAATGGACACATTTTGAATTTCAAAAAAGCATTATGTTCTCTGCTAAGTTGTTAGGGCTTTTAGTCTTTAAAGGCATAATTCCAAATAACCATGTTATTTTTACTACAAATCTATGGTATTAGCAAGTGCTGGAATATAGGCAATGTTTGCTCCTCATCTATGTTGTGGGATAGAACGTGCTTTTTTTTTTTTTCATTCAGCTATTTTTTGTACATCATCTCTGCAATATTTTGAGATCTGAAACCTGTGAAATGCTTTGGCAAAGTACTTGAGGCCTGCCCATGGCCAGAAAAGATTTAATCTATCACCTTCAGAATTATTTTAAAATTATAGTTCATCTCTGCTGAAATATTTTTAAGGACTTTTCATAATGGAGAATTTTTCCCCTCTTCTAACATTAGCCAAAACCAAACAGTAATGTTTCAACAAGTACTTATGCAGTAGTTTCTGAAATTAAAAATAAATGAAATCTGTGTCATTAGTCTTCTAGTTGCACAGACCTACCTGTTTGACCTCCTCTCTTCTATAAATGTTAACTATTCTTATGCTTACAGGTAACTCCTGACTACTGTGCTGAAGTGTAGAATCTGTATTGCTGACATTGTTTTTCAGTTTAAATTTCAACAACAGGTTCTGACATACATTGCAGTACGACAGACTTGCTAAATGAGAATCAGAAAGTTCCTACTCTGGGGTAGAATGATAAACTGATAGTTAATTGAAAATAAATCTCAATCTCTGTGATCACAAAAATGGGAATATTTGCCAATGTAAGGATGTAATTTACACACTGTCAGTGTGGAAGTAACTTCAGATAGTTTATTATCCTCTAACAAGCAGATTTTCCCCCTCTGCCTATTCTATCTTAGATTTATGAACTACTCAATCTTTAGTCTGATAGATGTGCAAAAGAGCAGTGATTGAACTGAAATGCTTATAGGTGTGTTAGAAGGAGCTAGATGTAATAATTTATATAGCACTGAATAGTGATGCACTTAATGACCTAGCTCAGGATGATGCTAGTTCTGGCTTTCCCAAGTAGTGATGTTGGTCAGTGGCTTCACAAAAGTGTGCAATCCTCAGGTTTCATGGAGGACCAGATTGTTCTGATGACTCTGCACTTTCAGGTGTGTTCAGTGGACTTCCATCTAGTTTCACAGCATCATGACTATCCGTAGAGTGGGGGATGAGCCATGTGCTGCTGTAAGTAATTCTGTAGAGCTATGTAACTATACCTTTTCTAGGCACAGAGAGAGAAATCTTCAAAAGTCTTTTCAAAGTCTTGCTTTTCAAAAGATATGACTGTTGTAAGAACTTATTTAGAATGGTAAACTAAGTAGGGCATTGATCAGTAGATGAAGAAAGGAGGAATTTGGACTTCAAGTGGGCAAGAATTAAAATTTAGGTATTTCAGCATGAATTGTGAAGTTAGGTAAAACATAAGCAATCTAGTAAAACTCACTTCAAATATGGAAAGCTAGATCTACTACTGGCTGCTTACATTGAAAGAAAGAAGATTACATTGTAAGAAAACTTATATTGTTCCAATATTATGATTGAAAAAAAGTGGAAAACACTGGCTTTTTTTTGTGGCCAAGCTGTATTTCAGCAAACTTTAATTATTCTTTATCTCAATGGATTTAGTGTCTTCCATTTCCTATACTGAGCCTGCTAATTCCCTGCCAAAACTGCTGTATTTGCTGAAAGCCCATTTCAGGGTCATGTATCTAGGAGAAGGGCTACCTAAGCAAGCTATTTCGCTTGCGCTTCAGTGCTATCTACTCAAGCCAAGTTATTATCTACTCTACATTGAAGTTTGTGGTGACTTGAGTTAGCTTTTGCTAGCTTAGATATCAGTGCTGTGACAGTAGCTGGAAAAGTTTGATGTTGAAACGTTTTTGTTATGGGAATCTCATAAGAATATGAAAAAAGTTTTGGTTATAGAAATATAAATGTATCCTAAGAAAGTGCTTGAGTTGCACGACTGCTACCATTTTTTTTTCCCACAGGTACTATTTTGCATTTTGTGTGAGATTACATATGTAAGATGAATAAAAGTAAATTAATATTTAGAGTTGTAGAAACTGAAGCAGATGGAGGGAAATGGAAATATCATCAAGGTCATAGAAATAACAATACTGTAACTGATAACGGCAGAATAATTTACAATACTGTAAATGGGACAGGCTTAAGGTTGTGGTTGCTAGTATATGAACTTCAGTAATTGTTTCAAGGTCCTGTCTTGTTGTTGTATAAATAATATATATGTGTTAATTCATTGCAATGGGGGAGACTCATTCTGGAGGAAGTAATTTAACTGAATTTTTAGATTTAAGAATTGCATGTTCTTGATTCTAGTATCTCTTCAGTTTCTGTATTTTCATTATTTCTGTGATTTAGAGCTGTCTCAGTGTCTTTAGCAAAGGAAGAAATGTAATTGAGCTTTTTAAATACATTTTTATGTTTCTGATAACTTTTGCACACTCTTAGAGCTGCATATTTCCATCATTGGTCTTTATCAAATGTGCTTCTGTTGGTCCAAGAAGTGTGAAGCAGTGTTTGGTCTTGATCTCATGCTATTTCCAAGCTACAGTGTTGGGTTTTTTAATAGAATTTTTAACATTTCTGGCATAAGACCTAAAATTCACAAATGTTAAACTATAAGAAGATCATCAGTCATCTTGGCATATACACAGTATCTGTGAAAGGAGCTGTATGAGCAGTCACTATTTTTTTTTTTTTAAAAGGCAGTGTAATATGGAAGAAGGGGCAAGCCAAATTGTGTGCTTTTGGAACAAGACAAGTTAGTAAACTTAAATGAAATAACATCTGATCACTTAATAAAAACTTAAATAGTTTTTAAGACAGCTCAGTGAGGGAGGTGTAGTATTAGTGAAGTTACACAATGATTGTTTCTGTACTATTATTCTGTTTTACAAGTACCTGTGTCCTGATTTGAAATGTGGATTTGGGGTGGTTATCTGTGGTAAAATAAGCCATACAGGCCCCTTTTGGTAATCTATTTGGTATCAGTGATGATGCAGTTTGTGGGGCTGGAGTATGGTCAGCATCATGCAGGTACTCTGTACCTCAGCATACAATCATTTGCTAAATTTGAGAAAGGCACTTCCACTTATTTGATTCACTGAGTAATCAGTTTTCTCACTTATTATTGTCAGCTGTATCTTTTACTTTAAACCATCAAATTAAATAATAGTTTATGCTGGCTTTTTATTTTAGCTCATGCATTTAAAACCTGGAACTCAGATAAAAAGATAGTTTCAGAATAATTTCAGTATATTATTTATGAGTGGAGCAACACATTAGCATTGAGTTCACAATAGATCATATCGCTTTTATTCCATCTTACAAGCTTAGCAGCACAAACAGAGTAATCAACATATTATTTGGCTGTCATCTGCTGAACAGAAACCAGAGATCACAAGGAGGTTTTCCCTAGCTGCAGTGATGGCCTTTTTGTTCCAAGCCCCCATCTGGGAGGGCCATGGTGTGTTATCATATGGAACGCGGGGTTTTCTGTAATCTGCTTAGCTGCACTGCAGTTTGAATCTTTATTCCATGTTTGTGTAATTTATAATTTTAATGAGACCATGGCTCTTGTGGGCTTTGAAATATATTAAAAGCTCTTTTGTGCATATGCTTTTGTTCTTGCTTAATAGGCTCAGTGTATTTAAAACTGATGAATTTTTATTCATGGATTTTGGATGTCTGGGGATTAACTTAGACTGAATATCATTGCACTCATCTATTGATGTTTGGAACTTTTTATATTACTTGTATCTGTAAGTGGAGAAGAATTTACAGAACTGTTTTGTACATAAAACAGCTCAGAAATTACTAATAAAATTTTATTGAGCAATGAGAAAAAGTACTGATTAAAGTTTATTTTTACTGCATAAACTCACATGAAATACAATTTGTGCTATGAAAAACAAGTAGTTGAATCCATGTACCTGTGTATATTTAGAACTTTGTAAGTAAAAAAAAATTTGGGTAAGCTGTCAAAATTGTTATAGACTAGCAGCAATGACAAGCACTTGACTTGCATTTTTCTGTTCAGGTAACTTGAAAAATGTAAATACTGATCTCACTTTTGTCTGACTTTTCTTCTGTTTAATATGTTTTTTAATGCAGAGTATGCATAAGATATTTCATTAGAAGGTGATGCTTGTAACTGGGCATTGTATTGATGAACCTACAGAAAGACTCTTACTATTTTTATATTTTCTGACAGTGCTAAAACTGGTCTTATTTTTGCTTTTGTATTTTTCAAATGTTTAATAATAGGTTTGATTTACTATTTGTGTTAAGATCTTGTATTGTGTGATTTCTGTGTTCATAAACCACTGTAGAATACACTTGGATGACAGCATTTTAATCTGAGGCTAACACTGGGGATGAGAATAAGACACTTACTTGTATATCGTTCTAAACAGCCTTGCTGATGGTATACATAAATATGTTTCTTTGTTTAGTGTTTTTTTGTTGGTTTTGCTCTTTTACCAGCAAATAATCCTCCTTGTAATGACAACTATTTTAAGTAAACAGCCTTTTAACTTGTCAGTGCGTAGGGGAATTATTTACCCCTGTTCTATTCACTGCTTTGAGTAGTATTTCCAGAAGTACTTGCATATTTCTAGAAAGTGTGTCAGCACTGGGAAGTGCAGGGGACATGTGAGCCATGGTCAACTTTAGTTTCTGTAGGGTTGTAGTTTTAAAGTGCCTTGTGTGAAAATTGGACTTGTAACTGTCATAGTTAATTAAAATAAATTTTAAATTTGCACATGTCTATGCAAGTGATTTTTTTTAAATTTAAGATAAAAGCAAATAGCTCAGAATATGGTTATTTAACTGTTGTCACATAGACACGGTACATTTTTCTCAGTCACCAGGAAAGAGACTATGCTGTCTGTCCGACCTCTGGCGTTTGTCCTAATTCTGACATTGTTACAGGAAACTGTTCAGTGAATATTTCAGCATCCCTCAGAGGCTCACATTTGCCACGTACGACCATGCCTTTGCTCAGCTATTTGGATTTTGCTGTTCAGCAAACATGAGTGTATAGAGCTGCAGAGGAAGATAGAAGCCCTGGAATGCATCTGACCATTAATACAGCATTTTATACAGGGTTGTGGGATTGTTAGGAGTTGCTTCCCAGCAGTAAATAGAACCAGTGAGATCTACTTGAAATCTGTTTTGAAAAATTGCTTATTCTTAGGTAGGTAGTCTCTAGTCGTTTAACACCAGAGGGAGGATTGCATTATGTGAATTTATGTCTACAGGACTGAGCTCATTGTCAGCTTGAGATCAGTAGATGAAGGAGCACTCATTGAAGACAAACTGTCAGTGTCTAGCAGAGATAATGTGGAAAAATATCTTCTCTTCTAGAACATCACCAAGGTTTTTCAGATTTGCCAGACTGAATCCGGTGTTTCTTCTAGAGAAAACCAACAGCTAGAAATACAAATCAAGTTCTGCCTGGCCCCTGCACAGAAAGACTTTTTGAAAATTTTTCCTTATTTTGCTTTAGATGTTCGGAATCCTCAGATTATAACTAGAATATTTAAAACATTTTATATTTATTAAATTGTGTATCTGATGTGGGAAGAATCTATCCCAATAAATGTGATATACATCCTTCACTATTCTAGCACAGGTAACTAATTTCATGCAGAAGCTGGAGAAGAATAGTTTAATATAAATAACAGCGCAAACATAAATTTTGAAATGGCCTAATCAGTGTGCAGTTTTCTTTGTTTTGGGCTTTTGACTTTTTTTTTAAAGTTATAATCTGAGTAGTTCTTTGGGAAAGAGATGGTGCAAGTTATGGAATTACCTTGAGTGAAGAAAGGTATCTGGTTAGAAGCAGAGAATGTTAGGAGAAGAGTTTCTTAGGTAAGGATAAAACTGATAAACTATCACTAAATATTCAGTGAAAATTCAGAATTAGGAAGCATTACATAAAACAAAAAAAAATTTTTTTTTTGTAGTGAAAAATATATTTAATATTAAGTCCGATAACTTGCTTAGCCACACTTTCATTGGCTGTGACTTCAATTTTCATGTATTTAAAATTTTGGCACCATATGTTAAACTGCTTTACACAATGCCATTGGTTATCTGGAGATGATAAATCTGCTCATTGATTTCCTAATTTTATTACGTACACAGTTAATTGTAATCCAAGATTACAGCGAACAAGATGTTAATTTCTAGACAACCTATGTACGTTTCCCTCAGAGTGTGATTGTTACACAAGCAAAGAATACAAAGAGAATACCATTTGTGCTATCCTCACAGGAGCTGTCAATAAAAGATGTAATAGGGGATTTAGGAATCTGGAAATGGCCAACTAATTTATGTGAATCTATTTTGTTTCAGCTAGAAAGACCAAGCTCTGTTTCGTCTGCACTGCATATTGCAGAGCACAGGCTGTCTATAGAAAACCAGGCGGCTGCATATGGATAGTCCCTTGATATCATTCACTTGCTGTGTAATCTTATTATGCAAAGTTCTAATCTTCACCTAGAATGAATGCCTCTGGGTCAGAATATAGTCATATCAGGGTTTTTGAGGTCATGTTTTGTGATCCTTAGCTTATTCTTCTAAGTAGGGCTGGGATTTAAAGAGTATTCCCCAGACACTAGCAGAGATAGATGGCAAAACCTGCTGCCTTTTTGGAAGACAAGACCAACATGAGGTCCCTGGTAGGATTAAACTTGATTTGTAGCTGTAGGATTTTTTAACAGATGTATTATTGGACAGGGAATAGGGGGCCACCAGCACAGCGAAATTGGATCACGATTGGCATTCTCAGGGAGTCTGCTGGCTGCTAAAACAGCAGCTGCATGTGGATTTGACTTCTTTCAGGTGAAGCGACTTCCAGTCATTTGGAAAGGATGGGATGAAAAGGAACCTTGGTGATAATTTTGATGTCTGCAAGATTTAGTACCAATGTAATGGGATTATCGGTAACACCTTCACTGAAGAAAAAGCCACCTGGTGCTATAACTGGCAGCAACTGAGAACTAATCCTTTTCCATCTCTTGGATGTCATTCATGAGGCTCAAAGTGATTTCCACCCTGCTAGCTGTGATTAATTTTATAAACAAACAAACAAAAAAAATCAAATGCTGAAGGCATAGGCTATGTAAGGAAAAGGGAACAGAAGATAATAGTAATTACATTTTGCATTTTATTTGCTGCAGGGGATAAACTATGCAGTTCTTGTAAAATAACCAAGTCGTATTCTATGAGATAAATGTGGATGTGTAACCTTTTTTTAATCAATGTTTATGTTCTATATAAAAACAATGTCTATTTCAGTATAAAATTTTCAGCTACCTCCTATATGATACTAGGTAGTACCTGGAAGTAATTACAACAGTTTTTATGCTGTTAGTTCTGTAATAAGGATGTTTATACAACAGTTCCATTAAGGGGCCTGTGACTTATATGTTTTATTGTGCTTAATGATCTTATGCCGTATCTAGTAGAGTTGCCTGCTGACAGCACTTTGTATTAAAATTGTGTGATGTGGAAAAACATTCAGCTGTTTACTTTCTTGTGATCAACAGTATGGCGTTGTTTTAAAATTTGTACTGATAAATAGTTTTCTGAGGAAACAGTTATATTTTACTGATGCTTAAGCTATTGCAATTGTAAGGTGAATACTTTGTGGGGTTTTTTAATAAACTAGTGTTGTTGTTTTTTTTGACTGGGCTTACTCTTACTACGACCATTCACTTGTTAACTAGAAGGTGTTACTTAAAACTACATGGAAACTTTCAGGATTGTAGTTGTTCTGTGGAATGAACATTGGATGTCTAAAGATGGACCTTTAATTGTGGAATGAACATTGGATGTCTAAAGATGGACCTTTAATGTTAAAAACAAACCCCCCAATCCTCTGAAGTTATCTTGTTAGGTTCAAACTGTGTATAATCTAGGTATGCATATATATGCATGTCTTAATTTGAAATTAACTTGACTAGTAATAAAAAGCCATATATAGAGCTAAGCATTTTTTCATCATTATCGTGAATGTCTGATAAGCATGAGCATTTAAAAAAAAAAAATCCATTGTGCCACATTTATAAACTGGGACTGATGAAATTCGTGTCACAGGTGTTAAGAATCTATTTTAAGAGAACTGGGAAGAAAATTTGAGACCTCTTCACTCATGTTTTATCCTTCTGGTTAGTTTTTACCATGACAGTTCTAGGTAAATTGCACTCTGAACCCTGTGTTTCCTGGAATAATTTACAAAACTACTTTTCTGGCTCTCCAGAATAAATTCTGCTGAAAGCACATTTTGCTTACAGCAAAGCTCTTTCAGCTTCTACAGGGTGTCCTGCAGTGTGCTGGGCACTGTGTGTGCTAATGAAACAATTCAAGACTTTTCTGTTGTATGTTGGGTCATTGCTGTGAAACTCATTAGCTAATATTAAGGATGATACATCCCAGACTGGTGTAAGTGGATTTATTCTGGAGATGTTTTATACAAAAAAACCCCACAAATCAAATAACCAAACCACTTTTTTGGAACAAGGAAATGAGCTTGGTAAAGAACATTTTCCCCCAGGAATGGCCGTGTTTTTTCTTTATAAATAAATACTATAAATGCAAAGAATAAAATCCACTTTTGTCTGTATTCAGCCAAAATTCTCATTAACTTCTAGAGAGCATTGTGCAGGAATGTGAAAGTGCTTAGCTTTACTTGCATTTAAATATCAAAACATCATGAAATATGTAAGGAGAGGTCATGAGTTCATTATTAGGTAGGGTATATTGTACACACACCATTTTTCTTTTCAACTTACTGCATTTGTGTAGGAAGCTCTATGAACCCATCTTAGCAAATGAGGGAAATCTTGCTGTGGTTTTAGTTCATGATGAAGCTGATGCTGAGTTTAAGGGGGACAGATTTCTTGCAGAATGTAAAACTTGCTTCACTTCAGTATGTGTGTTTTCCACTTTCTTAGGAGAAATATATATATAAAAATATCTTAAGTTGAGGTAAGGAAACATTTGAGTTAGTTTAGCATTGCAGGAATTACATCTAATCATCAGAGTTTGGCTTAAATATATGGGGGAGGGAGTTAGAAGTATATACAGTCTTAGGTGTTGTAGAACTTAGGCCACTGTACTGTAGCTGAGAACAAAAAGACCTGATGCCTTATTTTTATATGCAGGTGTTTTGGTAATGGAACTCTAGTCAAAGGAAAGCTCTGCAAAACCTTCAGCATTCCTATCAACAACTGCATTCTTTTTCTAGTGTAATCTTACTTAGGCAAGCCATTCAGGACTCTCTTACCCTCAATTTTGACTAGTTTTTCAAGCCTTTTTTCATTTGATTGGTTATCAGGTTGCTTTTAAAATTTTTGTTGACTACTTGATTGCCCCACTTTTCTGTGAATGTAATTTCAGTTGTAAAATATCTTCAGATGGTTTGATGCTTCTCTGTTTTGCTGTTGAGTGTTCAGTTTTAAATACTGGTGCTTGAGGAAAAACAGTGATTTAAGTTGCACTGTCTTCACATGGTTAACTCTATCAAGTGTTATTTAATAAATAATTTCATCTGAGTTACAATATGTGGTCCAGTGAGAAAGTCAAAGCCTGCATTTAAAGGCATGATTACAGCTTTCCGGATTCCATTCAGACAAACCTAAAGCTGGTTTGCTGTTTTGACTAAAAAACATCCCAGCTGAGTCCGCGGGGAGCACTGACACCATTCTCGCATTAATTTCTCTAGTTTAGCAAAGGTGTTTTTTTTTATTTCAGCTCCTACTCAACTGCATCTCACTAATAAGCTGGTGAGAGGGGTCCATTAGTTGTATCTGTGAAAGTGTCTAAGTAGTAAGTTAAAAACTTCTTGATGGCACTTGAGTTTAAACTATTCATCTGCTCAGATGTATCTGATTATTTGTTGGTTTTATTCACTGTTTTGTTTGTTTTTTAAGAGTCCATCAGTTGTCAGATACAAAAGAGTTTTGTAAACATTAGGCTGTTTGTTACCAAATGAATGATATTCTTCTGTTTTACTGTAGACTAGAAGCAGCTGAACGACGTAACACTGTACCATGCTTCGCAATGTCCTAGGAAAAACCTTGCGATTTCTTGGGTATACTGTGCAATATGGCTGCATAGCGCATTGTGCCTTTGAGTACCTTGGAGGAATTGTTGTGGTAACTTTTAATTTTCATGACATTTAAAAGAAAATAAAACCATAATACTGGAATTGTTATATGTGATAATGTCAAGATTTCAGGTTTGTTTCTTTTCTTTGAAGCTTTTTCAAAGCATGTTTAATAAATGCCTGGTTTTTTGGAGGCAAGTCTAGCTAGCCTTTATGAAAGTTATATCTACTTTAGGTGTTGGTATTTTTTGCTAAGTTACTGCTTGAGGCATCACTGAAGCAAATAGCAAACTATGATTAACTATCTTGCAGAGAGCACTTTCGTCCAGAAGGACTGGAGTCACTAATAATACCATAGGAAATGCCCGTTTCCCACTGTGGGCAGATTTCTGCATGTTTTATGCTCCCTTCCCCTCCTCCCCAGGTTCTAAACTTAGCAGATACTGCTGCTGGAGACACTGGAGTTTGGCTGGGTGCTGCTCTTGCAGCTTCTGTGGTGATCCTCTTTTACAGAGGCTAAAGAAAGGGATAAGCTGGCAGAGCTTCGAGTGCTGCTCCTGATCATTTCCTGCAGAGTAGTTGCCGAAATGAATCCGCGGGGGCTCGCAGCACCTAGCGCGTACAGAGCTGTAAGAGTTAGAGGCGCTCGGAAGCCTGTCCCCACCTTTTAAAAGTATCGGGTGTTCCTTGGAGGATCTCGCTTTTGTAGGTGTTCTTTTCTAATTTATTAGCAAATAATTTGAAGATTAATGTATTTTAGATAAAATTAATTGGAAATAGTAATTTTTTCTCATTTATTTTTAATTTGCAGTGTTCTGGACCTTCAATGGAACCAACCATTCAAAATTCTGATATTGTCTTTTCGGAGAACCTTAGCCGCCACTTTTATTGCATTCGAAAGTATGCTCCTTTGCTGAGATTAGATTTTACATTCCGTTTTCCAGAGCTTGTTAATAACCACATTCTTTCTGTCATTTATTTTTCATATATTCTTCTGCTTCTAAATTGTAATTTTTCCATAAATCTCCTCTCATTGGGACTGATGGAAATTAAAGTAATCAGCACATACAGCCCATTAAACAAGTTGTCAGAATTTGTTTAGGGTGTATTCTGACACTTTTATAGCTTTGTCCAAAAAATTGAAAAATTCTCATTTTTTTTCTTTTTTCCTAAACCAGTTCTGTTGTGTGCATGTAACTTCTCTAAGCAGTTATGTCTGTCTTGAAAACCAAGCTCTAGGTATTGCTGCACTCAGATAGGTTGTAGGAAAGTGACCAAATGGTGTAAGTACCATTTATCAAATGTCATTTTATTCCTGTGTTGTAGAGCACAAGAGGCTCCAGGCCTTTGCTCATTTTGTTGTGGTCTGTTTCACAGTACGATCTAATGTATATAATCAGGAGGCAAAAATAATACAAGGGTTTACAAACTCAGTTAGACATTTGAAGTTCCATTGGAAGAGTAAAGTTTGGTCAATAGCAGTTAGGAACATGGAATCTGTTCCATATTTATGTAGCAACAGTATCAAGTTAAATGGCATTCATTTCATCAGAGCATTGTCAATTAAAGTGTAGTCTTAGATGTTTTGTAAGAGATCTAAATAGCACAGAATGTCTCCAAATGGACTTAAAAACTGTATGTAAAATTACATCCTGAGTAAAACTGAAGACACCAAAATTGTAGACAAGCATTTTCAGCAGAAGTAACTTCAATGTACATGAATATTTTTGGAGTATACACATCGATGCACATGCATTCAGCCAAATAGTATGTACTTAGAGTTCTTCTGTTTGTTTCTGTTTTTTTCCTCTCAGAGGAGATATTGTAATTGTGAAAAGCCCAAATGACCCCAAATCAAATATCTGTAAAAGAGTAATTGGCTTGGAGGGGGATAAAGTCTGCACAAGCAACCCTTCAGATTTCCTTAAGAGTCACAGCTATGTAAGTATTAGCGTTTCTTGCTTTGTAAATTAATGATTACTTTAGGCCTGGTAGTCTGTAAAGGATTTGCAATATTTGAGTATCAGCATAAATCATAAAGTATGACATTCATAAATTATTCTTTCTTCTTGTATATGTACAGTAAGATGTTGTAATTTGTATGGCAAGCTGTCTTTCTCAGTGTTGTTTGTCTCTGTAGGAAGTGTTGGCAGATGGTATTTTTGCTCTGCCCTGTGCTTAGGTCTTCCTCTCTGGAAGAATACTCTAAAAATCTCCGCATAAAGCGAAGTGCAGGTGGCAAACTCAAGGGCTTGGTTTTAAAGCAAAACTGTTTCTTGTATTTTAAACACTAAGAAGTGAAAACTTTGTCTCTGCAATAGCTTTGAGGATTTTGATTTCAAAAAGATAATTTAGCGTATCTCTTTATTTCAATGTAACAATATTTTAAAGTATGGTTTGAAAAGTAGTAATTTTCCTAATGTGTCCAAAAAGTCAGGTAACAAGTTGAAATAGAAAGGAAAAAATACTATTAATGCTCACTCGTCCTTATGCAGATAGACTTAACAGAATTTTGGAAACATCTGTGACAAAACGTTTTCAGCAACTTCTTTTTAGGCTATCATTAGGAAAACGGCTAGAAATCATGATCGCAGAAAAATGTAGGGTTTTTTTCCTAAAAGCATGTTTGACCATTACCTCTGCTCAGCGTATTGTGGAGACATCAGATTTTGCACAGGTGTTTTGAATCTTAAAAGAAAGAGATTCTGTTGCCCTTTCATATCCACTTCATCCTCACAATTAGAATAAGGAGAATTAGCATCTGGCCCATAGCTAAAGTCCTGTGCTGTGAAGGTGAAGAATTTTATGGCACACTCCTTATAGCCATCTACAGTTTGTAATAGACAAATCTTTTAAGAGCTTAGCTACCATAAAGAGAGCCAACTTCACCAGTGTGCCTTCAGGTGTTGTTGCTTCATTTGTAATAAGCAGCTGAAGTGGTGCCTGTCCTTACTAAAATTAATGGCAAAATTCTTGTCAACACTGTGTCTAGATTTGGTGTCTGGATTTAGTCGAGACCTAGGATGAGAAGGCAAGGATACCATTCATGCTCTGTTCTGAGGGATTGAATTTGTTCTTTCTTACACTCTAGTGTTGAGGTAAGACATTTCAGGCACCTGCCTCTAATCAGCCCTTCTGATCAAGTGCCGGTACTGCTGGAGCTTCTGTTTACACTTCTGTCACTTGTGGACAGAAAGAGGAAATTCATTCTCTGTTATGTTGTGAAGGGGAGGGCAGAGCATTCAATTTTTCCATAAAGCGAATTGTGTTACCATTTAACCAAGGAAAAAACCTAAAAAAATCCCAAAGAACCTCAACCCACCTTTCTTAACAAGTTGAAGAAATTTTCCAGCTCCTGTGGGAGTAGTAGTTTAGATGAAATATGAATTTCCCAGAGCAGAACAACCTGAAATGGAAACCTGAATTCTGTGTACACTGACAGAAGATGAAAACTGAGTTTCTCTGAGCATCTTGTTCCTCACTTGACTTAGTCCTAAAAAGGAAGTTCAGGAAAGATTTGTACTTAACAGGTCATCAGGCTCTCTAGAAACCCTGAGGTAATCAAATGAATATCCAGAACAATTTCTGCCCTAGGCACAAGATTTCTTGTCTTCAATTTTAATACAAAATGTAAGGAGAATGAGGGAATGAGGAATGCAGAGTCCCTTTCCTGTTTTCCTGTGTATGTTTTTCATAAAGGTGAATGTGTTAAAATACAGCAGTGCCATGCAAGCTCTTTTAGTTCTTACACCATAACTTGTATCGAGGGGGAGAAATGTTCTAAATGGAAATGTTTTTGTTTGTTAGTGCATATCTGTTTTCCTCCTATCTTTAGTGGTTGTTGAAGAGATAGATCTTACCATCTGTTCAGGAGACACTTCCTTTACAGAAGAGTAGATTCTCAACATAGATATCTGCACTTTATGCTCATAATTTATACTGGATTATTCACCAAGTAAATTATTCTTGTTGGAGAGGGAAAAAGTGGTACCTGTCTGTGTTTAGGTAGTTGTCTAATCAGATTCCTTATTTTAGTGAATCACTGTGCTATGCACTGCTGCTCTTAATTCAAACACAAAATTCTTCGACACAAATAGCAGCAGCAGATGTACAGAGAACTGGCTCTTTGTTTTGTTGATGCTTCCTTTAGAAGAATTAACCTGAGTTGGGTATTAAAAAAAAAGATTGTTGAAACTAAGGAAAGACCTTGGCTAGGATCCCAAATGGCCAGAGATGCTGCCTGGGGTGTCTAGCTGCCGTAGAAAGGTACAATTGTAGGCACTCCCGAAGTGAGTAAAGCCTAGAAATTGGCCTGAGTTTTGTTGTTTATGTTAGGCTACTAACTGCTTTTTTTAAAATGAGAAATCTCTGAGTGATACTTGAATCCAGTGACTCCAAAGTGTGTAAGGTCAGAGGGTTGTTTGTTTTTATTACAATGAACTGCTCAGCTTTCCTTGACTAACTGGTCTCCTGTTTTGGTTAGTGAGAGTGAATAGTCTTGTTTGCAAACTTATTACAGTAGGGTAAATATAAAGTATCAGTTGCTGGAAATATTACCAAATTAGGTAGCTTGAACCTCTGCTTCATTCTTTGCTGGTGTTTGCCAACTAATGGTTAGGTATTATGAGTTAGCCAGTTACTGGGAATGTCAGAATAACGTCAGTACAACATACAGCTGAGAGTGAAACCGCCCCTAAGCAGCTGCTTCTCTTGTCACCCCAAAAGGAGAATCCTTATAGTCATGTTAGTAGGAATTGTGCTTAGTCTGCATCGACTGTGTCAGTGTTAGTGTCAGCATATTTTGCAGATTTTAAGTTAGGAATTTTTGTGCTTAGAAGCACTATCATACATGATTCTTATTCTGAAGCCTAAGAGAATGCTAAAATCAGATCCTGCTTCCAATCCTGTTTTGTTCATGAATATACTTCTCAGGGTGGCTTATATATATAGATAGGAGAATGGAGAACTCAGTTTACAGTTTGCTCTCTGTAAAATTACACAGATGAGATACTTTATTGCTGCAAACAACCAAGCAGATAACTGTAGATTAAAAAAACAGAAAAACAAGCAAACAAACAAACAAACAAACAAAAACAGAAAACCAACTTCCCAAGCTATAGTAAAAGTGAATAAAAAAAAAATCATACATAAGTTGAATACGTTGTTCTGAAAAGAGATATTTCAGTTGAGTAGAAATGCAGTATAGCAGTGGCAGTTATGTGAAAATATAGTGGTATAAAAATACTTTTGCTGTTATATTTATTTGAAGTAATGTATCATATGAGAAAAAAGTCAGAATGCACTAAATGTAAGGCTTTACCAAAAAACTGTCTTTGGTCATTGTTGGATTACAAACTGATGGAACCAATCACGCATATCAAATTGCTTGGTATAAATTAAGCATATGCTTAAATTAAAATTTAAGGAATGTCTTTACTTTGGACCCTTTATGGTACGTCATGCTTCATATGCTAGAGGTTGGAGCTTATCTGCAGAATAATAATGAGGGAAATCTTCCTATTTACCAGAAAAGTATAATGAAATTCCTTTCTTGAGGAATCTGCAATACTATTACAAAGTTAGGAAAATGTAGTTTTTCTTTTCATTGCCTTTTTATTGATATTTGATGTGGAATATGAGCATTAGGCTGGCATTTTCACTGGGCTCTTTTTTGGTTTTGTGCTTAATGGTGGTGTTTATAGATATAAGCAAGTGTATTTACTGTAGTAAACATTTAAGAATGCATAACATTTTTACTGTATCAGAAGCAATGTGGTAGGAACCCAAAAGTTAAAAAAGTAAACACCTAATTTTTAGTAATGTGGTATTCAGACCTAGTTTCAATTATTAAAAAATATCTTTACTAATTTATTCATTTAGCTATAATATCTAAGCAATGAGGGTTAATAAATTACTCAATCTCAGTAAACCCCTGAAATGGTCTTAAAGAACGCCTGAAAGGTTAATTTTCATATTTAGGTTTTTCTTTCCTATTTTTAAAAGTCTTAATACAGATCCAGGTTTATAATTCAGATTGAGTATCCTATTGTTATATTTGAGTTTGTTTTAATGCCATTTACTTTAGCTTTAATTTCTTTAGTACCATATGTTCTTGTGCTGCAGCTCCTATTTACAAATTGAAAAAGTGAGAGGTAAGTCATCAGATTAAAACAGCTTGTATGTCATAAACCACCAATATGCTAAGCCTTTGTGTCACTTAAACAAAAGTAGTACCTAATAATGTCACTTAATACAGCTAGAGTCTGTAAATAAGGAACTGCCTTTTGGAAGTCATAGTGATAAAAAGCTGAGATACAAATCCATATCTCAGCAACACTCTGCTGATAATCAATCACAACACACCACTAATGTTGTGAGACTAGCTGATGTGGGGGGAAGTATGTTTACCTTGCGCTAAAATGAGGTTCATTGCGGAGATGGCATCTCTTCATCCTGTGGTTAACTCTAGAGCTAACATAATTTCCAAGATAATGTATCTCATTGTGTTTGCAGATCAGAGAAGTGGTCTTACACAGCGCTATTAGCTCTTAAACAGTCCTTGTCAAATGCAGTAAGAATATTATGTGGGTACTAAGAATAATGTAATGTTAATGTAAACAACACAATGTCTTAGTCCCTAGACAGTACTACAGATTTTGGATGCGCAATGTAAGACACTGATTAGTAGTTTGATATTTCAGAATTCTCGATACCATTGGATAGTCTCTTTAAAATACCCTAAATAGCAATCAAAAATAAAGTTTTCAAAACACTAGTTCTTTTTCCTTTGTCCTTAGTATCTTAATAGCTAGTTGATACACGTGGTTTAGTATTTCAGTAGTCTAAGTTTTAATAGTTGCCAGTCAGGAGAAAGGAAATAACTTAAACTTTCTTTTCCTTCTTAATTCTGGCATTCTAGAGGCTTGAAAGTTTTGCCATAA